GCGTGCTGCGCAGCCCCGTAGTGTGGCAGAATTGGGATTTCTCTTTCACTGTGCCACAGTGAGTTTTCCCTAAGAAGACCTTCTGCTTACTCCTCCACAGTTGCTAGTCCTTGCTCTCTGTCGCCTGTGGACTGCACAGTGCTCCTTTTATTTGCTGCAGATGATGTGGCATTTTTGGAACATTAATATTTTCGTGGCTGGCTTCTCCAGCCGTGTGCATCTCCAGCGTGAGACTCTGGCTAGCGGGCTTCCAAACTTTTGGTGAGCGCCATCGTTGTCTGCACATAAACCGCACATGTCAGCCAGAAAACAACGATGCAAGCTCTCTTGAGCTGAGTAAAAGCAATTCTCCCACATGACTAAGAGCATCATAAGTTACCAAGTAAATGATCAGCATCTTGGAGAGTGCCTTGCTGCCCTAAGGGCCACTGATCACTCTCGGGACTCGGCAACATGAGTTGCCTGGTAGAGATCGGTTACACGGTTCCAAAGGGCCTGAGGAAATTAGGAGCGTGTTGGGCCAGAATGGCAGGCAGAGCAGTAGGAGTTCCCGTGTGATATTTGAGTTTTGGAAATTAGATTGTTTGATAAAATTTTGTTGGACTAACTTGTGATCTTTTGTGAGTCAGTTGCCTTTGGATTCTACCCAGATGGCTTGGCATACACACTTTCCTCTGCCTGGCTCTAAGCTTAGCTCATTGCTTCTGCCTATGTCACTCTGGGCAAGTTACTTCTCCTGAGTAACTTGGGACGCTTTGATCGCCTGCTTGACAGGCTGGCAGCAGTGTGAAGCTGGAGTCAGACTGACGTGGAGAGGGTTGTCAGATCCTTGGTGTGTGTAGCATAAAATACAGCAGGAAATGCTAGGCAGTGCCCAGCTGCTGTGTCCTGGCGGGCTGTGGAGGTGAACACACAATGCCTACTGAGTGTTTGAGTGCAGGAGCTTTGCAGCTGAACCTCTCCTGGGTTTCTTATCATGTGACTTGGGCATGTTACTTGACTCCTTACCCTTTTTTTCTTGTATCTTAAAATGAACCTCGTAATTTGACTTAGCTCACAGGGTGTAGTGAAGATTGAATGATATGTACATACTCCACAATTCAACACAGAGTCCCGCAACATATAGTAGGAGCTTGATAAATGGTGATTACTGTTATACATGAAGAGAAAAGTTTGTGCTGTTATTAGCCAGGATGTTGAAAAAAGCAGTGTTCTTTTGTAGCATTTGTTTCCATTTATGCTTTCTTGCAGTTTTTATTAAAATTATCTTAGTCGTTCATCACAAAATAGCTATTTGTTGGGTTTTCATTGCGGCTAATGTGGAGCTCCTAAGGTCCTGGGTGCTGCGTGTGGCAGAACACTTGTCTCAGGTCACAAAAGCAAAGGAAGGAGAAGCATTCGGACTGCCTCTGACGCCTGACATGAAGCCGTTTGCTTCATTTCCTTGATTATATAATGGCTCTCTGTGAAGACAGAATTAAGATGCACATCTGGGTGCAATTCCAGGCAAACAGCACAGAATAGCTTGGGGTGTGCTCCCAGCTCACAGGCCCCAGTGTCTTCCAGGAGGAGGCAGTTGGCTCCGGAGAGTGTGAGGAAGACAGGCATCCCGGGAGGGCGTCCTCACACTCCTTCCACACGCAGGGGGCTCTTTGGGTGCCTCTGACTTCGGAGACTCCCTGAAGTCTCCGCACTACGCAGCTGCTCCTTCCGTAGGAAACGCTGAACACACAGGGAGCACCTGTGTACGTGAATGTTCTCTCTGCTTCCTCTTTAGATCCTTTCATTGGCCTCTCCACTTGGGTATTTTTTCAGGAATATTTCAGAAATGTTTTTGTCCTTGATTCATTGTTTTTATATCTCACTTGAAAGCATGCCTAATTCCATATATTTTTAGTATTTATATATAAAATCCTGTCTCGGTTACTCTTATCTTATTGCTGGGACAAATACCAGACACCTAAGATGAAGGAAGGAAAGGTTTATTTAGCTCACAGTTAGTGGAGGTTTCAGTCCGCACTCGGCTGGCTCCAAGGCAAGTGGCACAGAGTGGAGAGCATCCAGTTCATGGCGGGGGAAGAGCAACAGCGGCCACAGAGAGAGAACAGCTGTCTCTCTTATACTGCATTCAGGCTCTCTGCCCCAGGCTGGGGGAAGTACACACACCTATAATCCCAGCAGCACTAAAATCTATAATCCCAGCCTTGGATCACCTGTAATCCCAGTGGATCATGAGTTAATCACAAACTCTAGAAATCCCCGCCCCATGACTACATGAGGCTTTGGGAGGACAACTAGTCACAAACCATAACAAATCCATAGGGTAGGTAGGCAGCTGTATGAAAAATCCATGGAGCACAGAATTGCAAACCCTGGCCTGCCCTCCTATGTTGTGGCACTGAGTACCGGTATAAAATTGCTAGGCACTTCCAGTGTTTATTGTTTCAGTTCAGTTTACTGCAGTAGCTGAGTTTTAGTTGACCAGAGCCCTGCTGTGAGGTGACGAGAACAAATCGGCTCCCTGGAGTCCTGGAAATCCATCTCTCCCTGCCTTGCCCGGCCACCACAGCCTTGGGCTCTGGCATGACAAAGGGTTCTGTCAGCTTGATGTTGTGCCGATCTACCATGAATGCTTTTTTCCTCCCATAGAAGAAATCCGACATTCACCAAGCACTGAAGCTCTTCTGGCAGAAGATGAATGGAAGGTGTTGGTGCTGACAGGAAGTACAGGGACTCAGGCCAGTGTCACACTCTGCGTGTACGGAGATGCAGGAGTCACTGGGCCGGTAAGGCTCAGCAAGGACAGCCCAGGGCAGCTCTTCCGTCCAAGACAGGAGGACGAATTTCAGGTAAACAAAATCTGTAGTAATGCTATTCTTTGAACACTCAAAGGCACTTCTGTAAAATAGGAGTGTGATTTTAGTTTGGATGGGTAAGTATATGTAGGCCTGTATAAAATAAATCTGTACAATTTCAGAATCCTAAATTAGTTACCTTAATGCCTGCTACAATAATCGAAGGAAACATTTGTCTTTTGCTAGGCACTTCCAGTGCAAGTGCAAGCAAGGGAGGTTGTAGAAAAAAATTGCTTTCTTTAAAGACAATTTGCTTTAGTCCATTGGTTTGAAAGTGGTGTTATAAACCATCAACTTCAACTCAAATTATAGCCATATTACAAGCTATCCAGGGACCTTTCTGATAATGAAAACCCCTCTTTTACATAGTTGCATGTGCTTCTAGATGTTTCTTAGCTGAGCTGTATGGGTGGGAATCATTTTCTTGGTGTCTTTATAGGCCACATTCTGAAGCTCTGCCCATGCCCATTCTAAGTGCTCTCTCTTTTATCTCTTAGTGTCAGAGAAACCCTGGGCTTCTTTGAAATGCAGTTGGTTGCCTTGTCCAGTTTGCCAGAGCTTGGCAAAATTTCAATTAGGACAATTACTTTCTACTTCACTGACTTACATTTCCCTGCAGGATGAAAGCTCTGTGGTGTTCGGTCCACTGTAGAACAGCAGTCACTCTCCCCGGAGAGAGTTCCTTTTCCTGGTGAGAGGCAGTGGAATGGCTGAATCCGTCCCTGTCACTCGGAAGCCACGGCCCAGTGGGGCTGCAGTGTCTGGGGTTCACCAATACTGAAGTGGTTTCTAGATTTTGTGTGTGAGCTGGTCCTTCTGCTTTTGCTGTCACTGAATTTTTAGTGAAGAGGGGTAGTTGCCTGAAGTCATGAAGGAGTGCTTTTCCTCAGCACATAGCAATAAAGCCTTCTACACAGTATGTATACTTCAAAGGTTTTTTAAAGGTAATGATTTAGAACTCAGAATGTGTATATAATGATAAGATCCGTAGGCTGTCTCACCAAGGGCTATTATTTCCTATAATATACCTTGTGGCATGTGTACTTATGTGCTGGTAAAGCCTGTCAGGGTTTTGCTTTGTTTTTGAAAAATGTACTGAGGGTTGACCATGAACGAATAGTATCGAGGGTCATGGCTGCACACTGCAATCATTGGGGGGTTTTAAGAACTGCTGGTGACAGCCCACCCCCAGAAATCCCAGTTTATTTTGTCTGGGTATTGCCTGCACACTGATGTTTTCAAAGGCTCTGCAAGTGATTCTACAGTGCAGTGAAGAGTGAGGATCCTGGTTACGGCAGCGGCCTGCAGTCAGGTGGACCGGAGAGCACTGTCAGCCTCCTGGCTCTTCCCTGTGTGACCCGGGGGGTTAACTTCATTTCTCCAGGCCAGCATTACCTTATATGTGTAATGGAGGCACTAATATCACTTTAAAATTCTAGCCTCATCTGATGACAAAATGAGAAAAATGTGTAAACCTTTAAAAACAATGTTGTTGACAAGTAGGAAGTGCAGCAAATTGGTTCAGAAGAGGCTTTGGAGGTGCTGGAATGCACCAAGCTGAAGCCAGCTGTCACTGGACCCCTTACCTGGAGTGGCCTGCTTGTCCTCACAGACCCTTTTTCCCTGTTACATTAAACAGGGTAATATCTACTTTAAAAGCTTGCTGAGAGGCTCCTGGAGTCTACAGTCTTGGATTCCAAGCTAAGAGCGGGGGTGTCACCTGGGGTGATTGTAGAATCTCAGGCCTCAACTTAGACCACCGAGTCAGAATCCGCATGTGCCCAAGCCCTACGGGTAGTTGTACATACACCACAGTTTGAGGTACAGGGCTAGGGGTTGTGAGGCGTGGGCCTCGGGCCACGTGGTGGTCTGAGGAGCCAGTGTATGGCCGGGTAGCTCATTGCTGCTCTTCCCGCCTGTGGAGAAAAGTGATGCTTCCTATTCTTTGGCATCAGTTGCCACTTCTGGGCCTTCTATGCTCTTTTTCTTCCTTTCTGTTTTGAAGCAAATATACATTATTTCTGTTTTGAGGGACAGTATAGTAAATGTGATAACAAAGTAGAGTTCACATTTCACTCTTGGAGCTTGCAATGTGTACTGCTATGTATCATTAGACATAGTACTTAATCTTTTTAGTTCTTTTCATCCTTTAAAATAGACTCTGTAAAAAGCCTACCCTTTCCAAGGCTGGTATGCTATTGGAAGAAGCTGGGCATGTCAAGCACTTGTACCCTCCCGAACACAGAATCGGTGGCACTGTGTGGCATTTCCACTCTCCTGAACTAAAGGACTAGACAGGCAAGAAGTCACACAAGCTGGTGACTTGCCCTTAATTGTTTTCACTTAGACCGTGGAAAAGGGGAGGTGAACAGTGAAGTGCTGGTAGATTTGGGGGACAACAAAGGATATTTAAAGGTTCACTTACCTTTCAGAGTCACACAGCACACAAGTGTGGGTATCTTCCTTCTTCCTCCCTTGAGAAGAGCCACGGCCCAGTTTCTACCTTTGAAACCAGCTCTAGGAATGGGGGAAAATCAGCTATGAGGTATTAACAGCCCTTTTTTGCTTCCTTCTGTTTGATGTCAGCCTAATCCCAGCTGCCCTGGAGCTGTACCAGGCTTAGGGCTGCACTGGCTGCTACAGTGTGTGGGAAAGGTGATGAGCACTCAAGCTAAGCGCGTGGAGGTGTGTGAGTGTGTGTGTGTGTGTGTGTGTGGAGGGGGCTGTTGTCGCAGTGCTGGGTTTCCTGACCCGGCTCTTTCATGGTCTCGGCCATAGGTGGCGACAGCATAGGTCAAGCATCGCCTAGAAGTACCTAGCAACCTTTTCTTCTGTTTAGCCTGTAGCTTGGGCTGTTACCTGTGATAGGAATAATAATAATAATAGTTGCTATTAGTTAAGGTGTTAAATAATGTGATACAGTACAGTTTTACATCTTCACAGGGCACTGCTGTGAACACTGTCCTGACAGCACCTGCGTAGGGACCTGTCTCCCCCTGCGGGCTGCCCATTTCTCCAAACTGGGGACTGCATCATCATTTTTATCTTTGCGTATCCAGCACCTAGGATGGTGTCCACATTTGTTGTTAATGAACATTTACTAGTTGAACCGAAAATTTTATGCAGAGGCATTTTGTGTGCTCAGTAGGTAACACAGTGGTGCTCAGAGATGTACAACATTGTATTTTACTCAGTTTATAATAGACAGCATTTCAGTTTGATTCAAATTAATTGTAAAGCTACTTTTCTACAGTCTTGCCTGGATCACGAATACTCCTTACTATGTCAGAAAATCACCAAGTACACACATTCTACGGACAGATTTGTTTCTCATTCTTAAACCTACGACATCAATATTTTAACTTAAATTCAAAGGATAGAGAATTTTTAGAGTAGATAAAGTTCTAGACTCATAGGTACTTTCCATTCATTTGAGGAAATTGCTGCATTTGTAGCTTTTATTTGGTTTAAAATTGATTTCTTTCCTTCTTAATGTAAGAATCCATTTATTTATTTTTTAATTGAGTACAGGGTCTACAGGGTCTCCCTATGTAGATCTGACTCTTAGTGACCTGCCTGTGTTCAGCCTCCCAAGTGTTGGGATTACAGGCCACCACGCCCAGTCTCAATC